AAAAATGGGCCGTTTTGGGGAGGTCTGCAGAGTGCAAAAAAAATTTTAATTTGCCTCTTCAAAATCTTGATGCGTCTTATACTCCAGTGCATCTTATACTCCGAAAAATATGGTAAATAGAAAAGGACAACATCTCCTATAATAGGACTGTGCTTCATCACTGGATCTACAGGTTTACAAAGATCCAATTTAGAGGAGATTACAAGAGGCAGAAATTCACCACCTACAGTTTTCCCTGGATGTAACAAACAGAGTACTTAACTCACTGAATATCTGCCTGCTATACATATATAACTTGTATTGATACAGGCAGTCCTCAACTTACGACCACAATTGATCCCCAAACTTCTGTTGTTTGAAATGCTAGAGGGTCTCCTGCTTGAGCAGGGGTTAGACTAGAAGACCTCCAAGGTCCCTTTCCAACTCCGTTATTCTGTTATAATTAAGACAGTTGTTAAGTGAGTTTTGTCCCATTTTGCAATCTTTCTTGCCACAGTTGTTAAGTGAGACTGTAGTTGTTAAGTTAGTAACAACTAACAACTATCTGAGTGGTTAAGTAAATCTGGCTGCCCCATTGACTTTGCTTGTTAGATCGCACAATACCTGAGTCACTGCAACTGTCGTAAATATGAGTCAGTCGCCAAGCATCCAAATTTTGATCACATGACCATGGGGATGCTGCAACAGTCATAAGTGTGAAAAACAGTCATTTTTTTCAGTGCCATTGTAACTTCGAATGGTCACTGAACAAATGGTTGTAAAGCTGAGAACTACCATATTTTTCAGAGTATAAGACGCACTGGAGTATAAGACGCACTGGAGTATAAGACGCACCAAGATTTTGAAAGGGTAAATTAAAAAAAAAGATATTGCAGACAACAGACCTCCCAAAAATGGCCCATTTTTTGCAAAAACAGGCCAGTTTTTTTTAAAGGGCATGAATAGCCTTTAGGAGGCTTGTAGAGTGCTGGGGGGGGGGGGCAAAAACAAGCCAAAACTGGCCCATTTTTTGTCCAAAAAGGGCATGCATAGCCTTTAGGAGGCTGATAGAGTGCTCCTTGGGGCTAGGGGGACAAAATTGAGCAAACAGCAGCATATTTTCGCTCATTTCTGTCCTCTCCAGCCCCCAGGAGCACTCTGAAAGCCTCCCAAAGGCTCTGCACAGCCATTTTGGTGAAGGGGGCGGGGTTTTGGGAGGCCAAAAATGCTATATACAGTGTATAAGACACACCCAGATTTTCACCCTCTTTTTTGAGGGAAAAAGGCACATCTTATACTCTGAAAAATACAGTACCTTTACATGTGCTATCCTTGGGGGCTAGATTTTTTTTTACTTATTTATTTAGAAATTTTATATTGCCGTCTACTCACACATGGTGACTCAAGGCAGTTTACAAGGACATAAAAACACCATATAAAAAGAAGAATAAAATTAATTAAGCCAAAAAACAATATATAAATATATATATAGAACTGTGTATAAAGGTGTGTAAATATAGAAGCNCACTGAAGCAGTAGGCGTGAGCTTAAATGGACTCCAGGAGATGGTAGAGGACAAGAAGGACTGGAGGAACATTGTCCATGGGGTTGTGATGGTCCGGACACGACTTCGCAACAACAACAACAACAACAATCAGACTCAATTTCCTTTATCTGCCCATTGTCTTAGTTGTTTGTCTTCTTCCTTTTTCTCAACATTATTCCTTTTGCCCATTACAGATCCTTGGCCTAATTCAATAACTACCACCGTTTGAATTATCTATCTATTCATTGATTCACACTGATAAGATTTATATTCCACTTTTTCTCCCGGAACTGAAGGTGGCATTTGCTCTTTTGTGTTGGGTTGAGAGAGAGATGACAAACCATCTGATAAGCTTTTGAGGGCTGAAGATGGACTTCAGCCAATTCTCCTACAGCCTACAATGCAGCCACGCAATTGCCCAACTTCAGCTCAATGATGACTCATGAATCGCTCTTTAAAATAATGTGCTGATGATGCAGCCTTCTTCTCACCAGCCCTGTGAATCATCTGCAGCATCTATCTCTAGTGACAGGATAACTGTCTATCATCCCATCCTTATGAATCATTATCACTGGTAAGCCAAGAAGTGAACAGAATCTAAATCAAAAGAGGAGAGCCTTCTTGCTGTACTGGGCATCTACCTGATCCATTTGGTGGGAAGGGGCTCCTCAGTTACTGTATTTTTCGGAGTATAAAACGCACCTTTTTCCCCTCAAAAAAAGGGTGAAAATCTGGGTGCATCTTATACACTGAATACAGCATTTTTTTGTCTCCCGAAACCTCGCGCCCTTTGCAAAAATGGCTGTGCATAGCCTTTAGGAGGCTTCCAGAGTGCTCCTGGGGGCTGGGGAGGGCACAAATGACCAAAAAATGGGCTGTTTGTTGCTCGTTTGTGTGCCCCCAGCCCCTGGGAGCATGCTATAAGCATCCTAAATGCTCTCATGCCCTTTTTTTTGACAAAAATCAATCCCGTTTCTGCAAAAAAGGGCCATTTTTTGTTCATTTGGGGGGGGGCAGCCCCCAAAAGCAGTCTACAATCCCACTAAAGGCTATGCATGCCCCTTTTTTTGACAAAAAGGGGTCTGTTTTCATGAAAAATGGGCCGTTTTGGGGAGGTCTGCAGAGTGCAAAAAAAATTTTAATTTGCCTCTTCAAAATCTTGATGCGTCTTATACTCCAGTGTATCTTATACTCCGAAAAATAT